AAAAAAAAAATGCAGAACCTCTGGTTATCTGGTTCCAAAGCCAGAGTTCAGTTTTTCAGTTCTACCACCATGCAGAGTGAGGTAAGCATGACCACTTCCTCTCCCTAAAACCATATTGTCCTACATCCACTTAATCCTCAGTGGATCTTCCCATCCTCTCAGTTTTGTTCTAGCACTTCACTTGTGTCTGTACCCCCACTTCCATCCTTCTGTCACTGCCCTCATCCTCTCTCACTGAAAGGTTCATTGTAATTGATTGGTGAATTGGGCTAGCTTAAAATTCATTTCTAAAAATAATATTAGCACAGCACTTACAAACATGCACCCAGTGCCGTCCGTGTGCCGGGCGCTGCTCTTAAACGCAGAAATGTAATCCTCAAAATGACGCTGCAAGATGGGTACTCCTGTCAGCCACATTATGTGGATGAGGCACATCAGGCACTGGCAATACCTTAGATATCTTCCTGAGTCATAGAGCTCATGGCTGGTACACTTGAACTTGAGCCCGTGCTTTCTCCCCCACTCTGTGCTGCAGAAAGAACTCCGACGCTGTCTTTAGCTTCGGTTCCCATCTCTGTAGAAATCCAGCATGTTATCATAGATACATTGTCAGGATCCTGGGGTCTGTGGTATACCAGGAACCTGGACAGGGACAAAGCTTAGTGGTCAGCCTCGTCGGTCATAATATGACAGAAAACCAGTCCAAATTGGCTTAGTGACAGCGGCAAAGACCAGAAGAAAGGGTGACAGAACACTGCTATTCTGTACATTTCTTGATGACTTAGCCAGGTTCATGTAGCATGCTTGTCCCTATGTTGCCCATCGTGGCTAGAGAGAGAGTTTGCTCACTGGTCAGGGACTAATGTCATTCCTGAGAACAGAGCTGAAGTGCATGCACAGGACTAGCAAGAAGGGTTTCTTCTAGAAATGCTGCCAGACCAAAGTGAGGCCAACAGAATAATCTGTGTGGTGAGCTCCATTGCAGTTCTAAAGACACAGGCCCAGAACAGTACGTTAGAAATACTGGGTGGTGTTTGGCCTGAATTTAGTTCTGTTTTATGGTGTGTGACCTTGGTAAGTGATTTAAGTCTCTGGTACTTCAAACTTTTTACTTCATGGAAATGGTGTGAAGATGAAATACTACATGTGAAAATTCTAGCCATGGTGTTACTGGAGAGGTAAACCCTCCAGAATTAATTATAAATTTGAGGACACTTTGACCTTGAAAAGATAGACTTATTTCCAACAGTGTACCTGATTCTGACTTGAACTTTCTTTTCAACTGAAGAGTAATTTGATGCCGTTATGCTACCAAGAACAGCCAACACAGAGAAGTTGTACATTTAGCTCCCAGGGAAGAAGAAATCCTTATAAGCCTTTAATGTCATCCAGTCCATTACGATCAAGGAACTGCATGTTTTTTTAAAGGAATCCAATCTAAGTTAGAATTCAAGGCTGGAGTGCAGGAATGTAGGGTTGATATTAATGAAGGTTTTCCTGTACCCCAGGACAAGTTAAATTCCGGGTCCAGTGGAGGGGGAAGGGAGGCATTTTAAAGTTGTGGTAATGTTTTAAAAGCCCATTTATTCAGGCTGGACTTCGTAATCAGCCCTTACCCTCAGAAGAGTTGTAGTCATTGCTTCCTGCTGTTGAACTTGGTTTTCATTTCTTTGTTCACTATGTTCTATTGAGTTGCCAGTTTTATAATACAATAAAACTAAACAAAAATAGTCAGGCAACTCTAAACCACAGACATTCTGCAGGGGAGGAGGAGGGAGAAGATACAAAACAAGGGCCGGAAAAACACAGGGACTAAGGTGATGGTGCACGGGTGAATTGGTGGTGGGAATTCTATGGGAACTACACCCAATGTAAAATATATACAAATAAAGAAATTAAATATTTTTTTAAAATAGCACAAATAATCCCCACCATGTGGCTACTGATGAAAGGTAATTAATTAATACCATTGACTTTACCTTCTAGAAGAGTTGTCCTTTCTTTGAACTTGACATCCAAACGAATTCTGTTTTTGCTTGGGCCACGTCCTGTCTTCAGTATCATGAAATATACTCTCTAGGGTTATAGAATCACTCTCCTTTAGAAGAGATAAGTCTGGAAGGCTGCAGCCAGAGCTTCCTTTCCAAAGAGCTGTCATCTGCTGCCCATCTCTCATCACTCACACAGTCTTCTCTCTGGCTTCAACTTCATGTCCAGATTTCAGCTTCTGGGAGATCCCATGAGCTAATTCTTCAAGCTCTCATTTCACATTTCACTTACCCTTGGCCTTTTTCTCTCTTCTTCCCTCAGTTCTCTTACTCACCTGACTGGAAAGAAATTGTACTTTTACCACTTTACTATAGGTTTTTGGCATCCTCAAATTGTTCTCCCTTGTTCAGTGGTGTTTTGGTTGCCCTCCTTAAACTCTGTCACGTTCTCTTTCACTATTTGCTTGTGCTCTGTTTAAATTTTAGAGACAGTTGGATGAAGAAAGACAGGTAAAAATCCCCTCATTTCCAATGAGAAAACAGTTGAAGCGATATGGGGAGAAATAGATGGCTAGAGACAATGAATCTTCTTTGATTTCCCAGAGGTTTAAAAAAAAAGTGGGGATAGACAAAAATTCCAAGTGCAGTCTTTTGAAGAATAGGAGACTATAAGGAGAATGTGCAAATTTATAAGATGTTGCTGTTTAGAAGATAATGAAATGTTTTCAAGGAAAGTTCAGCCTTGTTTTGCATTAGAAAAGAAGTAAGGCTAGGAACATGTTAAAAAAAAAAAACAAAAAAACAACCAGCTCAAGGATATGGTGCATGTGTTGCCATTTTTGTCCATGGCTGATATCATTAATACATTATAGTATTTTGTTCTGCTGGGTCTGGAAACAGTGTCAGAATCCTTCTACATACCATTACCATTCAGTCAGACTTGATTCCTGTTAGAAAACCTTTTCAACCATTTGACTATTGTCTCTTCTTGATCTTTTCCTTTCTAGCAACTTTTGGTAGGTGGCAGTTTAGCCTGTGAAAAGTAATGGAAGAAGAGTTTATTAATATGCAAGTATTTGTTGAATATCTACTGTGTGCCAGGCCCTATTTTAATCATTTGAACATAAGAAGCAAGTGCCACTCTATAAAGCTTGCATTCTGTTGAGAGAATAAGAAAATTATTAGTAAACAAATAAGATTAATTCTGATGGTGGCAAGAGATTTCTAACTGTCACAGTAGTAAGTGATTGGATGGTTGAGTTAGCAGCACCTCTATAAGAAAATGGCATTTGAACTAGGATATAGGTATGCACACATCTAAGTGTCTCTTTTGTGGAGAGAATAGCACAGGTCAAGTCTTAGGAAAGATTAGAGTTGGCAAGTTTGAGGACTGGAAGATCTGTGTGGCAGAGCATAATGAATGAGGGTAAGAATGGGAAGAGGTGACCTTGTAGAGAGATGTGACCCACCTGGAGAGGAGAGGCTCCAGGGTTTAGACTGTGCAAATAACCTATAGCCATTGGAAGGAACTTTAAGTGTATTGGAAATGCAGTGTTGTGGAAGGCACTGGAGGGATCAGGAGTTTGATTAAGGAGTGGCATGACTTATACATTCTGTTTAAAAAAAAAAATGACAGCTCTGGGAAAATTGGATTAGGGTGGGAGAGGAAGCAGAGAGCCAATAAGTTGGCTCTTCAGTCATTAATAGAGAGAGTTGTTGGTGAATTGGGATGAAAGGAGTGGTGATAGAAGTGGATGAATTTGGACACGTTTTTGAAGCAGCACTTTCAGATCAACAGGAAATAGGAAGTTAATCCTATCTCCATTTTAGACTAATTAAGACTGATTCACTGATAAAAACAAGAACTAAAGGAGAGTTCCTTAAAGGATTTGTTTTTTTAATCTATGAAGTCTTCTCCTTTAACCATCATTCCTCCACCATTATTTTTACACCTCATCTGTTTTGTAAAAAAATCAAGGACTAGACTGGCTAATGTTGTTAACTGACTTTGCTTTGAACCCTATTAATTTTATCTTTCCCCAATATCTGTTTCATTTTCAGGCCTACTTACCCCTCACCTTCTGGATCACTTTGTTGGACGCCTTTTACCAAAGCCTGGTCTGCTTCTTTTTTCCTTATTTTGTGAGTCCTTGTTCACTCAAAATACTTGTTATTAATGTATCAGAGAGGCTTCTTGCTGCCAGTGTCAGCATATAGAATGGGCTTATTTGCATAGACTGCTCAAGTAATCAAGCTGATTATTAGCTGAATAAATCATAACATTGCCTCCATCTCTGAAATACATAGGCAATGGTTTCAATTCAGAGAGTAAAATGCCTGGTTGAGTCCTGTTGGAACTCCTTTTAACCCTGCACTGCTGGGTAATTTTCAGTGACTTGAATAAAATCAAAAGTGTAGCCATATAATTAGATAAGTCAACCAGAGAGGCAAAGTCAGAATATGAAAGCTATTATTAGTGAGTGTTGAACCAATTCTGCCAGATGTCATATTATTTAAGATCTTACAAGTTGTCTTCTAAAACTGAAAAAAAAAGTTATATGCATAGACTAGAAGAATGGGACTAAATAGAAGAATGTGTAAAAATTAATTTAAAAACTAAACCAACATCAAGCACAAAGTAATATGTTCATAGCTTACCCACACACATCCTTCCCCCCAAGAAATACTAACTTGAACATGGCTGAACAATAAAAGAATGAAAAAAAGTATCTAAGTTAGAAATTTCCATTCTTTATTGCTATAATATAATTTGAATTCATCCGGCCGGACTGTTCTGCATACACTGCATTTTAAGAGGAGTGTAGAGAGGCAATGTGGGGTGTATTCAACAGAGAATGGGTAGAATTGTAAAGATCAGAAAATCGCATCATTTGAGGAATGCTTTAAGCACAGGAAGACATACTTAGAGAGGAGATACTTACTTAGCAGAAATATAACTCAGGATGGTCAATAATAGCTGCTTCCAAAATTTGCTGCTGTCCTTTGGAACACTGATATTTCTCTATACCTTAAAGATCTGGAAGCATGAATAAAAGTCTCCATGAGGATGAACTATGATTCAGAATGAAGAGAAATTCTGAAAAGGTCAAAGATTAGGTGACAGTTTAGGAGAGAAACAGTATCATTTTTCTAGAAACATTCAAGTTTATCCTATTGTGAGGGCCATTATAAAAGGGACTCAACCCTCCACTGAGCTGTAGAACAGGGTGATGATACTCACAGCCCTGAGGAATGTGCCCCATGATCACCTCCTGTTGTTTGGTTTCTTTGTAGACCTACCAGGATTCAGAAATTGACATCTTTAGCTTTGGAAACCCTGTGAACACAGCTGCTTTGTTTATCATTCTCCTCCACCTGGTCATTGAAAGCAAGAGTTTGGTGAGTACTTTTCCTGTCTCTTAAGCAACCTGAATCCCTTTCTGTTTGAGGAAATGCCTCTTATTAGCAGCAACCCTAAGTTCTGGCCAAGAAGACAGGTGGTAACAAGAAGAGTAATGACTTATAGAGGAAGGGGGATGCTTGGCTACTCTTACTGGTCACTGAGGTCCTGATGCTGAGATTAATGTGGAAACTCCCTGGCCAGTCTGTAGGGTGTGCTGTCTATGGTAGATGATCGATGGATGCTAGTTGGACTGGAGAAACAATTACTCCACAATGGTCAGCATTCTTCAAGACCAGACTAACACTTTCAACCAAAATCAAAAGAGGTGCTCTGTCTCTTCACATAGCTGGAATCATCACTTTGCAACATCAATCATATCTTCTGTGTAAAACCCTTCAGTTGTTTATGATTGTACTTGAAATAAAATCTGAAGGCCCAAGACTCCTCGAATGCTGTGTCCTTAGCAATAAATTAAATGAAAGCTGGGCGCGGAGAATAGCGGCTGCCATTCAAGGATGCATCATGAAAGAATTTCTGTCCCACGGAATGCTAGAGTTCACAGCTTCTGAACAACCCTTGGATGAAAATAAAAGTTCATCCATTCGGAGACTAAACTGCTCCCCTTCAAGCTCTGTCTCACCGCCTCTCCTGCCACCTCCCCCTCCTTGTACCCAGTGCCCTCTGACTAACTTCCTCACTCCTCTGCTTTTCTTGTATTGCAGACATGGATCCACATGCTGGTCATCGTCGGGAGCATCTTATCTTACTTCTTCTTTGCCTTGATCTCTGGAGCCATGTGTGTAACGTGCAACCCACCATCCAACCCTTACTGGATTATGCAGAACCACATGCTGGACCCCAAGTTCTACTTAGTTTGCATCCTCACAACCTGTGTGGCTCTTCTACCCAGGTAGGGTATTTGCTTGATTATCCAAAAAGTAAGTGAAATCATAGACTTGGAATTCTTTAAGCAACCTCTGAGTACACCTGGCAGACCATGCAGTTTCATCATGGAGATGTCTGTGTAGTTGTTCAAATACTGGTTTTAACTCTTTACCAGAGAACCAAAGTAGTTTCAGCAAACTGGGAGATTTCTTTCTGTCATGGAAAATTCTAATTCTAATCTATCATGGAATAGTCTGCAGACACAGGGCAGCTTTGCTTCACAAGGTTATCCAAGGACTTCGATCTTTTCTTGGGTTTCTTTTGTTCCACCAACTCTCAAGGGTGTTGCCTTTGTCTGCCTGGTTGGAGATGAGTCACTGCCAGCACATCCTTGTCTGCGCCTGCAGGAGAAAAGAGAGAAAATAGAAAATCAAGCAACTTCACTTTCTTCTCTCCCCCAGCCCCCTGAGAGTGTGTGTGTACAGCTGAATGGCTAAGATCTGCGGGTTTCTCTAAGGGAGATGAGGGATAATGGCTACTGCGGGGCAAATAACAGTGTCCACCACAGTCTGTAAACACTGGACACTTTCCACCTCTCTTCCTTCTCTGTTTCGTGTAGCCTGCCTGTTTTAGTTCAATTCAGTTTCTAATACTGTCTGGAATAGAAATGGCTGAAAAATATGCATAGGGTTTTAATATATAGATTATTTGAATGTGGGGTTGTTCCTTTTTATATTTTATAAACTCTGTTTAGCTGAAAATGCAAGAGCAAATAGTTGTCCTATCTTATGGAACACGATGTGAGAATCAAATTGGTGATATTGCTTTCTTTTCTTTTCTTTTTTAAAGATATATTTATCTATGTGTATAGAATTGGGGCCCTCATATTATTTTTTAACAGGGTTGGCCACTTCTGGTACACAGGCCAAAGCTGGCTTGCCATCTGTTTTTGTAAATAAAAGTTCATTAGAATGCTACCATGTTCATTAATTTATGTATTATCGATGACTACTTTTACACCACAACAAGGGAGTTCAGTAGTTCCAACAAAGACTGTCTGGCTTGCCAAGCTTGAAGCATCGCTAACTGGCCTATTGGGTAAAGCTTGCCTGACCCATCAAAATACCATTAAAAGGCACAATGGACAGAAACCCTTTATGGGTGACCAACATCCCTTCTGTAAGTGATGTATAAGAAAACCCACCAGAGTTGTTCTATCGTGGTGATAGCTATATACTTAATATCTCTGTTAAACTGAGATGCTTCTGTATTGTTCACATTACTTTCAGAAAACAGATATGAACTTGTTGAATTTATGAAGAAATGAGTACTTAAAGTTATGACCATAAAAATCCCTTCAGTAGCATTAACAGTACAATTCCACCTAAGATTATTGTAGTAAGCTGAAAATGACCCCCTAAAAGACATCCATATCCTAAGCCCTAGATCCTGTGAATGTTACCTTATGTAGCAAAAAAAGATTTTGCAGATGTGACTAAATTAAGGATCTTAAATTGGGGAGATTATCCTGCATTATCTAGGTAGACCTTAAAGGCACAGGTGCCCTTATAAGTGGGAAGCAGAGGGAAAAATGACACCTGGAGAAGGCACTTGGACCATGTGGAAAATATTTTGCCAGTAGTCAAGGGATATTGGCAGCCATCAAAAGCTAGACAAGGAGGAATGGATTCTTCACTAGATCCTCTGGTATAGCCTTTCCAATGCATTGATTTTAACTCAGTGAAACTGATTTCAGAATTCCTGACCTTCGTAACTGTGGTAGGATAAATTGTTGTTGGTCTAAGCTTCAAATTTGTGGTGATTTGTTATAGCAGCCATAGTAAACTGAAGCAGACTTGGAAATGTTTGGAAATAGGATTATAGACAGGTAATGGAAGAACTTCGGGGCACATGATTAGAAAACTATTAGGTCTTCTTAAAAAAGACTGCAGCTAATATTAACTATAGAAATATTGACACTAAAGTTATGCTATGAGGATTACAGAGGAAGTGAAAAAAGTCATATGTAGAGGAGTCATAGTTTAGAAAAGACATAGCATCATAACATAAACAAGACATTATTAGAAATATGCATGTTAAAGGTACTTCTAATGAGGATTCAGAAGTAAATGAGGAACATGTTTTGGAAAATGAGGAAAGGGAATCTTTGCCACATTACAGAAACATAGCTAACTTGTGTTCTACTGTGATACAGAAAACAAAATCTATAAATGATAGGCTGGATATTTAGCTAAGATTTCTATGCAAAGTACTGCAGCTTTCTTCTTTCTGATTAAAATAGAGAGAAAAGATACCAAAGAAAGAACTACTAAGCCTAGAACTAGATCCAGGAATTTCTCAGCCTATCCAGATTATTCTAAAGTTCCCTAAAAGTTAGAAGTATGCTCTAGCAAGAAGGCAATGAGTATAGCTGGAAACTGTTTTACTGATTCTGAAAAAGACTGGGTGTGTAAATCATGGATCTCTTCAGCCATCTCAGCAGCCACCAGGAGAGGAACTGGGATTCCACAAGAAAGATCTGTTTTTAAATGACAAAGAGCCTCAAGATATACCTTGGAGACCCACAAGTTTTTTGAGATTGCTATAGCAGTGCAAGCACTATCAACTTGAACTGAAAGGGACAAGTTTATGGTAATTTGTTACAGTAGCCATAGGCAACTAATAGCTAGTATTTTTTTTTTTTGAGCATTTACTAGATGTCAGTACTCTATCTGCTTTACATAACCTAACATTAACCCTACTATATATATAGCACAGATTTTATTTCTTTAATAAGCACTTACCAGACATTCAGTATCTTCTAAGTGCTTTAAAAATATTAATTCATGTAATATTGTTATCTCTTTCTAATAGTTTATCTTCTTTCTTTACCTTAAGGAGACAAGTGACTACCAGACCTTTTAATTTTTCTAACTGGCAAGCATCTTTGTGTTCCATGATGCCTTTGAGATGAATGTAACTCTATGATGTTTTATAACCTAGGTTTATATACCGAGTTCTTCAGGGGTCCCTGTTTCCATCTCCAGTTCTGAGGGCTAAGCACTTTGACAGACTGAGTCCAGAGGAAAGGATTAAAGCCCTGAAGAAATGGAAAGGTGCTGGCAAGATGGGCCAAACGACACCTAAGTGTGCTGACCTCTCAGCTGCCAAGTCTGAGAGAAGACCCATGTCCGATTCTTCTGGAGTTTTTGCAATGATGTCAAGACCTTCTGGTGCTGATGAGCAAGGAAATTTGTCTATACCTGAAAGTGCTTTGGACTTAGACTACTCAAAAACAAATGCTTCAGGGATGGCTGGACCCTCAAAAGATTAAAAAAGCAAGTTACCTTCCTTGGAGTTGCAAGTATTCCTATAAGTTTGGAACAGAGACTTTGAAGATGCACTTCTACCAAGTATGAATGACTTGGATTTTTCTAGCCTTGGAAAAAACCCATGTGATTATCTTTATTGTATGTATGTAGATACATTTCTAAAAGATAAAGTATGACCAGGCAGAGGTTAGGGAAGAGAAATAACAATCAAATGCTTCTATGAAACTTTTTGGATTTTGTAAAAGCACTTTGATTATTTTTCAAGGGGATTCATTTAAGATTTATTTATTTTATGGAAAGATCTCAGATTCCAGGAAAGTGCTTCAAGTGAGCAGATTCCAATCTGAATTTTTTTAATGAAGAAAAAGAGAGTAGTTTTCATATTGATTAGTTAGGACTCAAGAGGAGATTTCCATGTGCAAAAATGTTACAAATAGTTCATTTCCAGAGGAAAAAAGTTGTAAGAGCCTTTTAAACTGCAAAAATAGACAAAACTATACTATTTAAAATACAATTAGTAACTACAAATAGTTTATTACCTATTGGAAGATGCCTTTGACCTTCTCACTGAAGATGTTAGGCACATCTTTATTCATTTCAGTGTTCTTCTGAGGAGGATTCTTTACTAAAAAGAATGCCCGTGTTCATAGGGACTTGTTCCTCTCTCAGCTTCCAGTCAACGAAGAGTCCTCTTTAGGGCTGCCTCTGTGTAGATGTCGTAATTGGGAAACAGATTCATAGATAAGGCAAGCAGAATTAGCTGAGTTGACAGCAAATTTCTAATTTCTAAAACTGCTAAGAGCTTGTCCAAAATGAGACAATTTCAAAACCATCAAAAGAGATCATGTGAAGGGTCATAGTCGTTACTATGATCTTACAACACTCTAAAAATGTGATATTATGAATTGAGACTAATATGGGTGGTTTTCAATAGGATGCCAAGAATTTGTTTTTAATGCATTTGTAGGAGAAGAATGTCTATAGCAATTTAACTGCTGTTTACAAATCTTGTATGCTGGTTTTAGTTGAAACAAAGAAAATATATCAGTAGGTCCAGCTGTTACTGTAATAATACCATGTATTCTTCTTTTAAAATTTACCTGAAAATTGTCAGCTACCAGTCACCCAGAATTGCCTTCATGAAATCTCCATATTAATGTTCTATGTCTATAACAAGGTCTTCTTAATGACTATTAAACTGTTATTCTCAGGGCTTGCACCTTCTGCCTATTGGTCTGTTCTGGTCTGACTTTATTTATTTTTTTGGTAGCCTTGTGATATTATTGCACTAGTCTTTTATATACACTGTGATTTCTAGAATTTTCAAAATCCCATATGACTAGTGGAAGTTGCTTTCTGCTTCCTTATGTTTTTTTAACAACTGTTTAATAAATAATGTGTACTGAAAAACTGTCATCACTCTTGAAGACATGCATTGCATCAAGATGTAATTGATACCAGAACTTAGAAAGAAAATCCCATAACAAACCTTTTACCAGAATATTGTTTTTGCCTTCTTTCATGGAAAATCAGTGATATCATCTGTTATCTTCAGCAGTTGGTAATCATTACCTGAGTTCAACATCTTAAAAACAAAAATGTTACATGTAATAAAGGATTAGAATCTATAAAAAGAATATTCAAAAAGATAAAATGGTCAATCCCCAACATGTGAAATAATTGTTTATTTAAGTAGAGGAAAGTGGTATTGAATAGTCATTTTATGGGGTCCTGTCCAGAACTCCAAAATCCCAAGAGCTCAGAAACCTCATTATTTTTTTATAAATCAGTCACAAACTTAGTTTCCTAACATATATGAGATGATTTATATACTTAATATAATTTCCATATTTTTATGTGTATCATTTTTTAAATGTATGAAAAATTCTGGGTTTTGAAATGCATGTGGCCCTCAGGTAAAAGAGATTTGAGAACAGATTAAACTTTAAAGAGCCTCATTTAAAAATGAATAACTTTTACACTAAGTTACCCAAGGTGAGACCAATCTATTGCATTTTAGTATTAAACACCTCTCCCTGCATTTTTGAAGGACCAAATATTATATCATTATGCCCAGGAATCAAGGAAATTTGATTATAAAATGTGTGATACACATTTTAGGATGTAATTTTATCACCAAACAAATGATAAAAACTTTGGATGCAGTTTCTCCAGATACACTCTAGACACTAATAAGAATCTCTGCATTCTTACTTACCAGGCTAACATTTTTCTTGGACACTCAGTGGGTGATTTCAGACTGTTAGCAATCTCACATTTCAGACTAATCAGAAAACCATCTATGTTTAAAAAGCATGTTCTTGTGAGACAGTAGAAAGGTCAATTTTGGTGGAAGCTGAGCGGCAACTATTATAATGATGACAGTTTTCTGGGACTAGCTAGTCACGCTCCCTATCCATCAAAAACAAAAACAATATTACATATCATTTTATTCGCATTATGGATTATTTAAAATGAGTGCAATATATACATTTCACTGAACACAAATTGAGGAACACTATAGCTGTTACGTGACATCTGTATCCACTCCTATAACAAAATTGACATGTTTTTAAACTTTCATAGAATTGTGACCACGATTCAATGACAGAATAGGATTATACAAACTACAGAACAGGAGATGACTAACACAGAAAGTGTCAAGACAACTTTTGAATCCAACATGTACACATACAGAAAAGAGTACAAAAATCCAGGTATAAAATTATAGGTAGTCTCTGAGAATGCTGAGGCAGTCCCGGTTGCTGGTGTGAGTAGGCTGTCCTACTTGTTGCAAAGGCATTTGGATGTTGCAAAATGAATTTACCTAATTCAATTAGGTAGATGTGAACATTTGTGTTGTGAAGCTTTTCAGTATGGAAAAATACTTAAACCACAAATTACTTCAGAAACTGATGTGCGTCATGTGGCCTAGTGCTTAAAAGCATTGAAAGATTTTAATTGTCAGTGGGAAGAAATAGCAACACCAGCTATTAAACATCTTTCAAGGAAAATTACAGAATGTTTTACTCAATGCAAAGTCTCACTATGCTTTGAGATACATTTCCGTGGCTATTGATATGGACAAACACAGGAAAATTGAAAAATATTTCATTAGGAGTAGGGTGCGACTTAATTTTCTCTTTTTAAAAAAACTGCACATCTTCAGTCTAAAGAAAATTCCCCTTTGCCAAAGTTTAATCTAAACTTCATTGTTACACAGGCAGAACAAAATATTTCCCTAGTCATGGACATCTCAGTCAGCCAGCTGATTATCACTGAGCAAGCCCCAGAGATTCTATGGACAATGTTCCGTAAAATCACAGCCTTGATTTAAATTCAGAGTGGGCAGCCTGAGAAAGTCAAATGCTAATATTGACATCTAAGGAGCTCTGTGTTCACTATCTCTTGCTATTTAAGCTATTTAAATGTTTGGCACTTGTCTTTTGCCTTTCACAAGTACTTAGAATGAAGCAAACTGTTAAAAAGTAATAGTAAATAATTTAAACAGGTAAATGATCTGGGTTTTTAATAAAGCAAGCTTTCACCTTAGTGTTGAAATTTGCTGCTGTTATTGTGCTTAAAAACAAAAGCTGGCAACACTTCATTAGCCTGGACTCGGAGCTCTATTTCCTTCATGTGGTCGGATAAAAGGGAATTTTAAATAACCTGTCACCTGAACACTTGCATTATCCTAACTCTCAAGAATTGACCCTTTCACCCTACAATCATGGTTAGGCCTGGCTACAGAACAAAAGCTGCTTTGTTTTGTTTTTAATGACTCTTATTACACTTGAAATAAGAGCAAGTAGAAAAAAAAAGTTAAATCGAACCACAGCACACACGAGTACAGTGCAGTGTGCAGTGAACCTCCTGCCCGGAACGGCTCTGTACAGCTTTCTGCAGGAAGCTCCCCACAGTCGAGAAGGCCATTTTCTTTGAGTGCAGCTGGATAAAGTCTTTGATCATCATTGGAATTAGTTCAGGAGAAAGGTATGGATGTATATTTGTCTTTTAATCCATTCGACGAAATATGACACGTTGCTATAAACTCCAGGTCCCAGAACTTTGGAAAAGCAGATCGAGCCCCATGAAGTTAAACCAAATAATGTCCACTGTCCTTGAGACTGCTCACAAACAAGAGGCCCACCGCTGTCACCCTGTAAGAAACAGCAGAGGCTATTAGTCACTGGGATTGCAGAGTCCTCCAGTACTTATGCTATCCTGAGGGTACTGCGAATTCAAATCAGCTTAAGTTACTTATTGGGAAATTTTCACAGAGCTTTCGCTGTCAGCCTGTGCAGGAGCATGCTTTCTCCATACCTGGCGAAGCTCCAGGTTGAGTTTGTTAAGATCTGATCTCTACAAGGCTAGGGCTGCCCATGGAAAGGATGTAATTCCTTCAGTGAAAAGACATTAACTGTCTGCTCCTACCAAAATATTAAACATGTTTAACTTAGTGTACCAGAGCTGAATCTTTCATAATGAACGTCTTTCTTTATACTGATCCACTTCATAGAAAATACCCAAACTGGAAAGAAGAGCTTCCCCTCCACCACAACCCACACACAAAGGTGCTAGGAAAAAAGCCTAAAATGACTACTTTCAAGATTCAATCCCCTCTAGTAGTCTTGGTTCTGCTGTCGTTTTTCTACAGTTTGCTTTGGTTAAGTTTTGTCTGTCCTTTGTTTCTTTGAATTCCAAAAATAAGTAAAATCAGCTGGTGTTTGTCTTCTTAGTGAATATTTTTAAAGCAAAATCCACTGGAAACATTTCCATTAGATATATTCCACAATTTTTATTTCTCCTATAAAAATTACTTTGGGGCCCTCCCTGGTGGCGCAGTGGGTTAAAGCGCAGCACTAAGAAGCTAAAGACACTTCAGCCTGAGTTCAATTTCCACCCCAAAGGTGCCCCACATGGTGCAGCAGACCTCTCCTGACTCGCCTGCTGCTCCCCTCAGCAGTGTACTTCGTGATCTGCCTGTTCTGCTCCCCTCTCTGTCTCTGGTGAATCCTCTCACCACCCCTGCACCTCTGGCCGGAACCCCAGTTCTGTATGCATAAATAAATAAATCTTTAAAAAATATTACTTTGATACTGAGTAATTAATAGCTCAACCTAGTTTACTTTGAAGTTGTTGCTGAACTGAATCTCCCAGGTACCCAGCAGCCACTAACCATGCACGAATCGACGGTGCCAGCCTCGTAGCCAGCACATATCATGCGGGTGGTGATGGTCTTCATGTCGAAGTAGGACTGGCACTGCTCCAGGGACATAATGCGGACTTCTCCCTCTTGCAGCTTAAAAGGCACTGGAGTTTTTTGTTTTTGTTTTTGTTTTTGTTTTTAAGATATAAGAGGATAAAATAATGACAGTAAGAACCATCTTTACTTAAAATGTAATCGTAAAGATAAGGCTTGTTTGGGATCAGAACTGTCTGATTCCAAGTATCCATAGCCATCATCTACTCAAAAGCCTTATTTAAAAAAAAAAAAAATGCAGTATCGACCAGTTAATTACCTTGATTAGGCAACATGAACTAACTTTCCCCCTCTTATCAGGATGTAACAGAATCAACCAAATCATAACACAGGGTTGGAAATGTGACCTGCAACTTGCAAGTGGAAGCAGCATGGCCTAACTGCTAGAATCAGGCCCCTGGGGGCACTGCATGCACACAGCGCAGAGTGACAGTTGAACAGGGATGCAACTAACAGGTCTCTGCTCTCATGGAGGCTCCTCAGCATTGCTGCTGGTGCCCTGCAGAAAGCCTCTGAGGTGTGGAGAAGCCTTTGGAGCTTACTGACTAGGCCAGCTTAAGCTCCATGAGGAAGTACTGACATCTAGGAGTGAGCAGGAGAGCTAGCATGAATGATCACCGGTTAGGGCTACGCTTTTGCCAAGGGCTAGGAAGAACAGTGTTTTAGTTACCAGCAGAAAGGCAAGTGCTCCCGAGGACCCTGGCTTACTTTTGTTACCCATGTGCCCCCAGCCTGTGATAGAACAGTATGAGTCAGGCTTTAGTGACTGCTCCGGGCTGGGTAAGCAGACGGGCCTGACGTAGCTGGTTTCCTGGATGTCCTCACTGAGCTCCACGATGCTGATGTCGTAGTCTACCACAGCGTGGCTGTAGCGAGGGTGCAGGATGATGGTCTTCACCAGCCTCGTCTGCGTGAACGTGGACGGGTGATCTAGATTGTTGATGCCGAACACCACGGTCCACGCGGCTGCCTCCTCTCTCCTAAATAGTTCCAGAGTGGTGGACACCTTAGGCTTGGGCTTACATTTTAAAAGTTACATGTAACTTAAAAAATATTAATCCAAATCGGCCCTCCCTGGTGTCTCAGCGGGTTAAAGCACAGCACTAAGAAACTAAAGCCACTTCACATGAGTTCCATCCTGCCCCGGGGGGGTCCACATGGAACGGCAGACCTCTCCTGACCCGCATGCTGCTGGCCTCAGCAGTGTTGTTCATCGATCTGCCTGTTCTGCTCCCTACTTTGTCCCTGGTGATCCTTTCACCGCACCTGTGCCTCTGGCCTGTACCCCAGTTCTGTATGCATAAATAAATCTTTAAATATATATATATATGCAAATTATGGCTCTTTCCAAGCCTACCTCCCAATGAGAAGTGCATGTATAATGCAACTTGTAGCTGGCAGATGTTGTGGAAAGCTAAACTCATGCTCCTTGAGTGGGTTGTGCTGGAAAATAAAATGTGTTTAGCTTGAAAAGCAGGAAGGGTAGTTACTTGCTTTACTGAGTAGGAAAACTGATGAAAAGACATAAAGAAAGAATAAATGAGGGGGAAAACAAAAGTGTAGAACAAAAAGCCAACATTAAGAGATCCTTACAAGAAAGAATAAGTCCCTCAAAAAATGTCAACTTTTCAGGGAAGCCTTCAGAAAATTTCAAGCCAAAAGGTCACCCACAAAATCTCATGTCAGTCTCCAAATCAATGCTTTCCATCATTTTCCAGAAATATTCCCTTGCCTCATTTCATTCTAGAACTCTCCAATTCTAGAATCTCATCCAACTTCATGGCCTCTCCCACTCACACTTCTCTCCTGTGTTTTTCTCTGCTTTGTAGGTTGAAGTACTGCAGGACTCTCCTTTCAACCTTCTTATTCCATACTCACTCCGTTGAAGATTTCATTAGTTCAGTGATTCTAAATACCACCCATGTCTTAGTAACTCTCAGTGTGCACCTCCAGCCCAATTACCTATTCGACACAATCTGCTAATAGCTAAGGTGTGTCTAGTGCTTATCAACATCTGGTAATTTTCTTCACATCCAGAATTCACTTTACCATTATTTAATATAATGGCAAATTACTGAATTATTAAACAGCTAAATCATCTCTTTTTCTTATACCCCATATTGCTGCATCTACAAGTCCTCACCACTCTACTTTGAAATACATACCAAGCCTTCCTACTTCCCCCTCTTGCCACCTCAAACCTAATCTCAGACACTCTCATCTACTTGGGCCATGGCACTGGCCTCCCAAAGAGTATCGTTTTCTCTTAGCTCCTATGGTCCATTTGCCTTATAGCTTTCAAGATGATGCTTTAAAAAGAAAAAAAAATAAGTCCATCTCCTACTCCTAGTTCTCCAAGGACTTGGAATAACTTACTTGAGAGAAAACAGAGACTCCTATCTGTAGTCTCACAGGCTCACAAGACCTGCTTCCAGCCCTAAGGACTTTGTTTCTACTTTTGGACATGCAAAGACATTCCCAACACAGGCTCTTACCTTGCTACTCTCCTAGCTCTTACAGGGTTTCCCCCTTTATTTCTTCTCTTCATCAGTCTAACGCTCAAACATCACTGTCTCAGAGCTGTACCCTTAAATATTCTGTCTAAACTTTAGCCATCACTCTAATCTTGAGCTTTATTTAATTTTTGTCTCCATTGCACTTAGTAACATTAATGACGCTGACACTAGTCAGCATCTAGTCTCTGCGTTGCATGCACAGTGTATGTTCTGTGAGGGCAAGGCCATGGTGTCCTGTTCACTGCTGTATCACAGGGCCTTCTCTGGTAACCAATGAGTTCTCAGAATTTGTTTAAAGATGGCTCAATGGATAATGCTTCAAAACATTTATTCGCAGCCAATTCCAACTACTTAAGAAAGGTCTATTCTTTTGGCCCTCCCTGGTGGCACAATGGGTTAAAGTGCAGCACTATGAAGCTATCTGCAGCCACTGCAACACAAGTTTGATCCCTGGCCAGAGAGGTGACCTACATGGTGGCAGACCTCTCCTGACATGCCCACTGCCACACACACACACCCACACCTCTGGCCTGTACCCCAACTCTGTACACATAGATAAATCATAAAAAAAAAAAGTTCTAGTCTTCATCTTTCCCTTCATGCCTTCCTCCACTTGCACCCCTGCCTCTACAGAGTGGGTCTGGACCACAGATGTAGAAATATGTAGTGGGCCACTTGTTGGGGCATAGAGATTTCCTGAGGACATTAGTGTGGTTAAGTAAACCACCATGTTGCCTCTGTTCTCACTAGGGAGCTTACCCAACTAAAGGAGGCCGGCCACCCAGAAAGGTTGGTTTTCAACTCTGGTTGAATATTGAATTATGTGCTGATGCTCTGTGCACTTCCCCATGTCTATGTGAAGCTCTTGGGCTGAGGCATGGGACTCAGTCTTTTTAAGAGTTCCCTAGGGAATCTCAGGCAAAACCCCACTTGCATTCATTATTTCTCTGGCATTTCTTTCTTCACTCTCTTCTCATGTAAAAATTCAAAAGGTGAGATTTCAAGACAGCTAGAAAGACAATGGCCAAGGCCAGCATTAACCTGCTTTACCACTGTTGAGACTCGATTCTACTAAAAGACCCCTTTACAGAGTCCAGGCATTCTATCCCTTTTCCTTTGTCAAGAATGCCAAAGCTATCAAAATGAGTTGATACCATTTTTGACTATATTGAAAAATAGAGGCAGACAAATAGACAGCAATACTGCTACAGTAAACATTATACCAGGGGTTACACTAATAAGCAAGAAAGATCTGATCCTTATTTACATAAACTATAATTAAGTGAAGATGGACAATTAAACAATGACAAACACAGGAAGGGCTACCTCATGAACATCATAGGATAATGTTACAGAAGAATTCTTTTTCATTAAATAATGACATCAAAACATGCCTTTCTTCCTTGGCAGCTCCTATCATTTTCCATCTCTCCTCCTTCCCCTGCATTTCCTCCTTCTTCCCTCTATCTCCCATCTTTCTTTTCATTCCCTTCCTCCCTCCCATTTAGTCCAGAGGAACTAAGTACAAAACCTTTTGATGAATTCAATATTCACATAAGATCCCATTTAAGGCATCTGAAATACAGCAATAATTTATTTTAAATTAACAAATTCTTACCCTTGAATCAGAACTACAAAGGGTTGCTTGTAACAAATACTCATCCATCTATTTAAATACAAGCACTATTTCAAAGAGTTGAAGACTCCAAATTATTGCACAAAAAAAAATGAAATTACATGAAAATTCCAGACTTGATTACTATAATGGGGTTAATCTAATTCTAACAGTAAAAAATTAGTATCATTAGTTCAATGTCATTACCTTGTAGTAGTCTGTTGCTACTTAAGTTACTGTTCTTATGGCATTAGTATCCACCAAAAGTTTAAAAAAAAAAAAGTAAGCAGGAAATTTTTGTATTCAGTGAGGATACTGCTGTTTTCTTTTTGTTATGAGTGTGGTTGGAAAAATAAGTCTCTTTTAATGCATTCTTTCAAGTCTGGGAAAAACAACAACCTGCTCTTTAAGGGAGATGGCATAAATGGTCTACTGGTATATTAAGCATGAGCTAGAAAGCATGAGTCAAGAATAATGGCAGAGACACCCTTGTATGGGTAGATGCGAAAACAGAAAAGAGAACTCAGAAAATAGAACTCAGGACTGCATGAAAGCCACATGATTCTATTTTCAGTTCAAAAGAAGCCAGCAGTGCCACAAGAACAAGCTATGTTCACATGGCCATTTTCATGAAAAGAGTTAAATTGGGTACAAAGGAAAAAACCAAGTGTAGCAGCTGAAAATCTTCAGCATAAAGGGGCTATTCCTCAGTGATCTGTCCAGTGTCAGAGCAGCGGCAAGAAAGAATGATGTATCTTTAAAGAATTTTGCATGAAGATCTGATGCTGAGTGATTAAGCAGGTGAGGTAAGCTAAAGACTGATCACCAGCAAGAACGGCTGAAGAAGATGCTGGGCTTCCCTCGGTCTAGATGGTGTTTCCTTATTTTCGATCTATATTTGATTTGCTTCATGTTTATACTACTGTCTCAATTGTGCATCCACATTTTAGCTAACAAAGAGAATATTTCAATAGGTAGCTCTTTAATTACCAGATCAAAGGAGAACACTCAGCTATTTATGTACATCAGCTGCACTGCAGCATCCAGGCAAGTGTACAGAGTTTAGGCCAAACAGATGTTCTGGACACAGTAACCTATCACCTGGGGTCAAATTCATCGTCCTCAACTTTAGTGTTGACATGAAAATGTCACGTTTCCACTTGATTCAGCCATCCAAATTTAGAGACATTCTCTTTTATCTTATTTTGGATGTTCTGATTTAATGCTTTTTATCTTATACTTAGAACTTTTTCTTTTTCAGAAAAGAAAATTAACATTTTACTAACACTCTGGTAGAATTCATGCTATTCTATAACATTACCCAGAAATAGCCTGGCTAAGGGGTGATTTGGGGGAAGTTTGAAGGGTTACTAAATCTGCGCTAGATAAAGATACATACACGAATTCATTGCTGGACTAAACAGCTCACAGAACTCTTATTTTTAATATTGTTCTCTGCCTTTGGCCTTCTTTTTTTTTAATTTTTTTTAAAAAAATTTAAAAATTTTTTTTATTTATTTATTTGTGCATACAGAACTGGGGTACAGGCCAGAGGCTCAGGGGCCGTGAGAGGCTTCACCAGAGACAGAGTAGGGAACAGAACAGGCAGATCGAGGAAGTACATTGCTGAGGGGAGCAGCGGGTGGGTCAGGAGAGTTCTGCCACGCCCTGGTGGGTCACGGGGCAGGCGGGAATCGAACTCATGCAGAAGCAGCTCCAGATTCTGAGTGCTGAGCTTTAACCCACTGCGCCACCAGGGAGGGCCTGCCTTTGGCCTTCTTAAGGAATTTTCTGTAACACACGCTGTGAACAAACTTTGGAATAGGATGACCACAAGTGAAGGTGTCAAGCCTCTGGGGTGGGTCTGTAAGAATAGTGTGTCAGGCCACCAGACCTGCCCACCGTGAGGCCATCTGCCTCTCTGCCCTGGCAGAATGCTCAGTGTGCTCTGACCTTCCAATTGTTCAAGGGAGGCCAAATCTTGCATTCGATATTAAGGATGCCTCATCTGAAAATCAGGCCAACAATTTACGATGCAAAAAGTAGATCAGTAGCTAGATTCTTCATTAGTACAAAACTGCAATCATTTCCAAGTATCTCTAGATGTGTGTCAAATGATCTTCTCACCAACTATGAGAGATAAGCAGGAGCTCTTCTTATTGTATATAGAAAAGAGAAAGCAATGCTGCAGAGCAGATGTAACTCATGTAAAGTCATAGAGAAAATTAGAGATGGAGCACTATGCTGGTCCTTTAGCCCAAGACCACACCCTTTCTACAAAACCTCCCTGACATCAAGGGAAAACACTAAGGCATTAACACAGGAGCCAGGTACTGGCCAAAGGAGCCACACAGGGTGACTCCTACCCAAACAACACAAAATACAACACAAAATACATGGAAACGATTTTGGTTATTCTGGGTAGATGTGAAAAAGTAAGATGATGTGGGTTGAGAGACAATTAATGGTTAGGTTCATTTAACAACTTGGCTAGGGAAGGCCTTTGAAAAACTGACATGTAAATTGAGACTTGAGTAATGAGAAGGAGGTATTTGTGTGACTCTACAGGAGTGTTCTGAACAGGAGAATTCTGAACAGGAGTGTTCTGGAGTGGGCTGGGAGAGAATGAGAACTGGAAAAGTGGAGATGGCAGAAAACCCTTTTCAGAGTTTTACTGGAACAGTTACTAGCCCAAAGGAAACAATAGTTGCAATGAAGAGGAGTTGGAAGTTAGTTACATTAAGGCATGTCTTCTGAAGAGAATGATCCAGTCAAAGGGGAGAAATTAGTGATGAAAAGTAGAAATAGATAAAACTGGAAAGGAGATGAATGACTGGCAGAGGTCGCAATCACCTCAAACTTAAAGAGAGCTTCATGGGGACCAGCGTGGACTCAGTGAATCATACTAAAACTTTCAGTTCCTTTTCTGAGTAAATTACAGAACTGTTAGATTATGGTAGATCATTGAGCCCAGTGATTCTGTTCTGAAATATGAGAGAGGAAGCTGCCCAGAAATAAGTGGAAAGTTAAGTAAGATTCCCACTTCCAAGTGTGAGAAGTCAGGCATTAGCCAGACACCTAGTAATTCTTAGAGAGTGCTCTGCAGTTTTGAAGAAAAATGACATAGGATTTCAAAATGTGGTGTTCACATCAGCTCTTTGTTGGAGGTTTGCCTGGTGCACAGGACAGAAATACCGAAGGACAAAAACATTGATGGTCATGGGGACAGGACTAAATTGATGAGCCAAGGGGAGACGTACGCCTATGAAAGGAAAAAAATGAGGACACTGGTGGACTGAGATAATAGGTGAGAAGCCAACATTTTTGTTGAAGGGAAGTGTGCTAGAAGTCAACACATGGTGACCTGGCAGAGTTCAGGGTGTGGCCATGTATTGCGATAACAGCTTCTCTGGCAGGCTTCCTAGAGAGAAATTCTGACATCTTCTCATGGTGTGCTGGTCTATGAAGTTAATCCTAAAGTCTTCAGGGATGGAAGGAGGCAGCGAGGTCACTCGTTAAATTACCAATGCAAATCATTCTTTGTTTCTTATAACTTTGAAGTTGAATTTTTATTAAGGATTGTGGGACTTAATCTGATCAGCTTAGTAGATCATGTTCTAATTTCATTTGGGATTTTAAAACACCTCTCCATGGAAGAGTAAAACAAATTTTCTTTTCTTTACCAATGTAATTAAGAGACAGACAAGACAACCTACAGATCGATTACACTGGACCTCATTAGAATGTTGGATCAGGCTATGAAGTAAGTCTCATTAATTGCAACATTTGATGGCTCCAGAAGAGAGTAAGGATTACAATTAAAACTTCTCCAAAGCTTTCAGGACCACTGGAGAGATTGCAAAATAGAATTAGCTATTAGCACACATTCAAACTTTTGTTTGAAGTTGGGCACTTTCAAACTTTTTATGAATGGGACAGCCCTCTCTTGGCAGTTCTGGTAAATTCAGTGTTCCATGAAATTTCACTCCCAATTTGATATCATATCCATCCATATCCTTAATTATAAGCACATATTTCTTATTTCCTCAAGGAGGAAACTTAAATACAACATATGGAAATGAGAAAAGTGCCCTATGAACCTGGAGTTACTAGCACATAAAGAGTGTTATTCCCTTAAAGAACAGTTGGATTCATTTAGATAATCATCTTTTGATGAATGTATTCCTTCCAGTATAATCTGTTTATCATGGCATTATAAATCAGAACTGTAAAAGACATCTGGAAACATCTGTCCCATCCTGAAGCAATAAATTTACAATGTATTTCCTGACATACAACACAGATTCTTGAAATCATTTTGGGCTTGACACATTTCTTCACAGCAAAAGAAGCCAGTGTCAAAATGAAAAGATAGCTTACTGAATGGGAGAAGATATGAGAATAATGTGTCAGACAAGAGGTTAACAGCTGAAATACATACAGAACTCATAAAACTTAACAGTAAAAAAAAAATGTTTAAATGGGCAAAGTATCTGAATAGATACATCTTCAAAGAAGACAGAGATGGTAACAGGCATGTGAAAAAATGTTCATCAGCTTTTGTCATTAGGAAAATGCAAATCAAAACAAAAATGAGATAGCACCTTATATCTATAATAATGGTTACTGCCCAAAGACAAGAAACAAATGTTGTCAAAGTTGGGGAGAAAAGGGAACCCTCACACATTGTTGGTGGGAATGCAAGTTAGAGCAATTATTATTCAAAGCATTTAAAATGCAAATCAACAAAAATTAGATATCACCTCATTATCTGTGATGATAGCTATATCAAAAGACAGAACAAGAATTGGAGATGTAAATTGGTGCAGCCATTATGTAAGGAGATTCCTCAAAAAATTAAGACAATAAATACTACATGATCCAACTATTTGATTCCTAGGTACTAGTGTAAAGAATTTAGAAACTAAATCAAAGATACATATATGTACTTCCATGTTTACTGCAGCATTATTTACAATAGTGAAGTTATGGAAACAAACTAAATGCCCAAGCAGATGAATGAATATAGAAGATGTAAGTATATACATATAATGAAATACTACTCAGCTATAAAGAAGGTGAAATTCTGTCATTTACAACAACATGGGTGGAACTGGAGATGTTAAACTAACTAACTGAGATGGAGAAAGGCAAATATTGTTTTATTTTACTTATATTGGATAAAAATGCAAAAAAACAGAACAGAAAAACTTTTGGATTATAAGGACAAAATAGTGGTTACTAGAAGGGAAGGAAGAAGAGGGATGGGTAAATTGGGTAAAGGAGGTCAACTGTAAGGTGATGATTGGAAGCTAGAATTTTGGTGATAACAAAAATGTGGCCTATATAAGTTCTGGCTTTTAAGGCTGTATACCTGAAACCTATATAATGTGGAAAAATATTCTTGCAATGAAAAAAAAATTTCTCAAGTAGAGATACTGACTTGATTTTTTTATACTTTATTTTCTGCAAAAGAATAGCCAAATAACTATTTTATGGTCTCTTATTGCATTATATTCTAAATATTAATTTAACAATCTTCACTGGATGGCACTCCAGGAAGTAAACATTTTACTCATTTCTGAAATGCTTATTCATTCCTGGCGCTAAATGAGAGCTCTATATAGAACCTAATGTGGGTTTCTATAGAAACAAGAGTTCTAACAAGTGAATAGCTTTGCATAAGAAGATGTATTACTGTTTTGTTAAATGGTAGCAGACACTATAAAAGTTTGGAATTTTGTGTAGTTGTGCTTTTGTTTTTTGCTCCTAAATTGCACAACAATTAGCCACACAAAACAGGGAATTTCAATATTTGTTAATTTGGGATAGGTTTCCTCTTGGTTATTTTTTCAATTTTTTTCTACTCTCTTCATGCATATTGTTGAGAGGTCATTTTATGTGCCAATGTGACTAGACTATACTGCCCAAATATTTAGTGAAACACAATTCTAGATGTTTCTATGAAAGTATCTTTGGTAAGTGGACTTTGAGGAAAGCAGATTACCCTCCATAATGTGAGAGGGCTTTATTGAATAAATAAGAGACCTTTACAGAACAAAGACTGATCTTCCCCAAACCAGGAAAGAATTCTACCAGCAGGTGGTATTTGTATTCCAACCCCAACTCTTCCTCAAGTCTCCAGTCTGCTGATCAGCCCCATCAGATTTTGGATTTGCTTGGTCTCTATGTCTATTTATTTTGGAGAGTTATTTAAAAAAAATAACTAATATGGAAAAAAATGTACAAAATAATGTAAAAATAAATTTTTGTAAAATAAAAAATAAATAAATAATAAAAAAATTAAAAAATAACTAATACTGACTGGAAATTCAGTCTTCTAAATGTTTCCTCCTCCTAAAACATAAGTCATAAGTAATATACAAGCTTTACCAATAAATGAATAGCACATACATAGGATGGCCAGAATGAGGGGTGGAATATCTAAGTAGAAAAGACTAGGAAAGTAAATCCAGTGGGCTTTTGTAAAGATGTGGTTTCACCGATTGACATGACCACTGATAATGCCCAAGTGACAAAATGATCAGTCATACAAAGCAAAAAAGAAAAGTCACAGCTTACCCCTCGAAGCAGTGTGCAACTGTCAGAACCCACTTCCTGGCAATGAGAACGCAGCCGCAAATGTGTCCACTGGGCTCACTCTGCAGGGAACACTGCCATGGCCACCTTCCAGGGCGACTGGTCCGACCCCCAAGGATCCTCTTGTTCATTCGGGCAGCAGGCCGGCGCCCACAGTCTACCAAGGAGCAAAGAGAGTGTGTGACCCACTCTCAGCCCAGCTAAATGCTGGCAGTTAACTGACCAGACAGGTGATTGTTTACCCCCTGAGCCAGCCAGTTGAATTAACTTTTTTTTTTAAGATTTATTTATTTATGCATACAGAACTGGGGTACAGGCCAGAGATGTGAAGGGTAAGAGGATTCACCAGGGACAGAGTGGGGAGCAGAACAGGCAGATCGACGAAATACACTGCTGAGGGAGCAGCGTGTGGGTCAGGAGAGGTCTGCCTCGCCATGTGGTCACCTCCAGGGCAGGCGGGGATCGAACTCATGTGGAAGTGGCTTTAGCTTCTTAGTGCTGTGCTTTAACCCGCTGCGCCACCAGGGAGGGCCATGAATTAACTTCTTATCCCACTATTAGGCCACTCATTCTCACCTTGTGTAGTGCACAGAAGAGAAATCTTACTTCTGCTTTGACAAGCCTGCCTAGAAGTGGGAACAGAAATGGCATAATATTCAATCATATATTTATTGTTCACTTCAAACACCTTATGAGTGAGAACAAGACATATTCAGCTGCTCTTTGTAGCAATATTCTTACTGCAGGGATTGGTCAGGCAGGGGTATGAGTTGTTACGACCATGTGGGACATGTATTTTCTTTGTTTCATATCATCACAAAAGGTCACATTTGTGGCAAGAAACAATGTGGTTGGTTGTGGTACTACCCAGAATGTTGACTCAAACATTGATCCTCAAGTAGGGTGAGGGCAGGGGAGGGAATTGGGTGCTTATCAGAATCAATAGTGAGGAGGGGGCATGTCAGATATTCTTATGCTTGTAAAGGTGTGCATGCCCTAAAAGACTTAAAAAAATAACTTGAGAGAAATTAAATAATTAAAATAATCCTTAAAAAGTTACAGAACAGGTAAAGGAATTGAATATCTAGACTGGAAAAGAATGAGACTTTTGATATTAAAATGCGGTTTTGTGATGAGCTGATAGGAAGAAGGAGGAACTAAAGTTATTCCCTGCAATTCTACATGGCTGGATCAGAACCAACAGCTAGAATTTTAGAATGTGTGGTTTCAGGAAAGGAAGAGCTTGCTGAAGTTGGAATTAACCTTTGAAGTAAAAAACCTGGGCCATGTTTAAGCATCTATTGTGTGGCTGCGCAAAATAATTCAGTTTAGGGTATGTTAAATTTTAATCATAAAGTTCTCTTCCAATCAAGAGGCATTTATTCACAATGTAAATTTTAAAAGTAACTGTGATGGGACTGTCATAAATACTAAGATATACTTAGAATCTTAGATCGCTCCGAAAAAGATAAACCATCTTTAAATATGTCATTTCCACATTCCTTTTTGATGATTGACTGTATTTCCAGCTTTTGCTAAATTTGCATGGGATTGTGACATAACTTTGTATGCAATAAATTATAAAATCCAGAAAACGCACATTTGCTTTTTTGCTTTCCCATCATCTAAAGCCATGCCTGTTCCTTACACTCTCTTTCCTCATCCTGAATTTCTTTGTATTCAGACACTGTTAACCCTCCTGTAAGCTTTGAACAAGTTATTTAAATATTCTATAGCAATGTCTTTTGATCCTAATAAACAGTAAGTGCTCACTGCCTCAATTCACCTTCCTCCAGCACTCTACCCACAGAAAAGGGGGCCAGCCTTAAAGAAGGGGCCATGATGTTTTAGGAGAAATTATTTCAGAAGCTTGCTCTCAAGGCCACGTGTTATAACTTGTTTTATTATGTGTCCTTCCCACCTACCCTCTTCCCGGGATTCTCAAGGTTTATCAGTTGTCATTATCCAATTCCCTCTCTTGACTAGTTCCAGCTGTTGTAAATACAATATGCAATTTATTTTACATAGACTATAAAAAAGACTCCAAAACTGTAACCCAAGTTTCTACTCCTTCACCATGACAGTTTCTATAATCATCATGAAAGAAATGTAATATCAATGTCAAGAGAGAAAAAAAATCTATGTTTAGAAAGAAATAAAAACAAATGATGCTCAACTATAAAGGCAAGTAGCCATTCTGCAAAAGCCGTGTATGGATATAAGCAATTTGGATTATTGGGAATTAGAAACAGAAGAAAGGCCCTAATGATAAATTATTCTGGCTGCACAATCCACTCATCACAGCTGTGGTGAACGGTGTCTTACCCTTTTACCAGCAGTTCGTGCAAAGTGGACCCGTTGAGGCTCTCCCAGTTGGGGTGTAATGTCAGCCACTGCATGTCTTGCATCTGTTCCTGTGCCAGTTTGGTCACAGATGGCTCCCTGATAGAAGGGCAAATCCCAAATAAATATTCAAAGTACTATGCCTTTGACCAAGCAATATCATTATTTAGCACTCTATTTTCTTTCAAAAAGAAAAATAACATCATAAATCACTATTTCAAGAGGGAGATTTGTATGAGAAATCTAGCATGAAATATAATCAGCAAGAGGGGAAGTTACTCACAATGGACCAAAGCAAAAAAGATCCAAAGTATGACAGCTGTTTTACTCATTCTCTTTGCTGACATGTATTTGAAATTCAAGAGGTGTTAGAATTCCAATATATACAATGTAAGATTTCCACGAACTAAAGGCAGGAATCAAAAGTAAAATAAAAAAATTGTAGCACAGGTTGTTTTGTCCATTTTTTTTTAATCATCATAATACTTTAACGTAAAAAAAATAAAGACAATACTAAGTAGTATAAAATTGTAATGGCTATTTTTTCAAATGACTGCAAAATCTTTACGCACTAAAAGTTAGTTTGGAAAGTAGAGAAGGGCTAGACAATATTATTTTGCTCTGCCTATATTCTCACTCAACTCCCACCAATATCTTCCTGTGAATGTCTCAGTCATTCCAATAAATATGGTTACAATGTATCTAAGATTTGAAATACTTAGATTTCAAAAGTATTTAGGTTTTTATATAAGATATGCCATGAAATAGTTGGTTCTTTTAAGTAACTCCATATTTGAAGAAAATCTTTTGAATTTTCTTCATCCGCTCTATCAGGGTAGAAGAGATGTTAGTTTTAGACAAAAGGAGAGCCTCGCTAAACCTGGAAAAGATGCAGGTACTTTTCTGGATTCAGAAAGGAAAATAATTCCTAAGAGAACTAAAATCAGCGCCCTCTCTGGCGGCACAGCATATTATGGTGCAGCCTATGAAGCTGCCTGCAGCCGCTGCAATACGAGTTCCATCCCTGGCCAGGGAGTGGAACCACACGGTGCAGCAGACCTCTCCGGTCTGCCTGCTGCTCCCCTCAGCAATGTGTTTCAGTAGATCTGCCTGTTCTGCTCCCCACTCTGTCTCTGGTGAATCCTCTCACCCCCCACACCCGTGATCTGTACACCAGTTCTTGTATGCAAAAATAAATAAATCTTAAAAAAAAAATCAGCTTTACTTTTCTTTTGAAGTTGGAAGTGGACTCCTGGGGTGACAGTTGGGGGTGAGAGGTACATACACCATCACCTCATCACCATGAGGAAAGTGACACACATGTGGAATGGTGCCTCTGTGGAAGGGTTTGGACAAAGATACCAAGATAACTTAGGAGAATGACCTATAGCATTGGTTTCAAGTGAACCTGGAAATCTCAAAGTTGTAGCAGCATCAGATTTATATGCTTAGTGACTCTTTTAACCATGGGATGGCATTTCTTGAGGAAAAAATGGGGGGAGCACAGGAAGTAGAAAAAAAGTTTTCAGTAAAAGAAAGAAAAACTATCATTTCACTTGATTATTAGTTACTAAAAAACTATCATCATCATATAGTAGAAGCAGGAAAATTGAAATTTTCTCTATTTTATGAGTCTGTGAAGCACACAGTTCTCACATACTACTGAAAAATTAAATTACATCAATGATAATGATTTAATCCATCAGCCCAAGAGGTGGCCTCTTCCACTTTGATTTCACTGGGTGTCTCTAAAAGATCCAGATAGTGGGATATTAACAGAATTAACAATCAAGAACCTGTTCATTTAAAAAAAAAAACTTTCCAAATCATTAATTTTAATAAGGAACATACTCTCCTAAATCACATGCAGTATTGAAAACTAATGTGACCTCAATTAAAAAGGAGAAAACCCTTTAAAGAAAACATCTGTTGGCAGAATGAAAGCCAGATTAAAACCAAGTCCTTTATAATGAATAATTCTAATCATTTGATTTCAAAACAAAGGGTATAAGCCCTGACCACACTTAAGAAGAGTTGCACAGGATTTAAATTTATTTAGAAACTTGACTGAATTTAGAATATTGAAGACTTCATTAAGCCTACTGCAAAATAGAATGTATTAATGTTCTCCCCCAAACCAAATGAGGATCTGGCTTTTTGTCGACCCCACAAGTGCTATACATGGAGACACAGTGAGATATAAAATAAGAATCAGAGGCCACACACAACTCATGGCCTTTTACCTGACACCTGTATCCTGAGAATTGATTCTGCAACAGAACCACCTATGGACCTCCTTAATCCAGCAAAAAGCCAAAGGAAAATAAATCAGCTGTGATTTTGTTGTTTCATGTAGTCATTCTTCAGGCCCCTATCCACAGGGCAAGAAGGGCTTTGCACCAGGAGGACAATTTCGCTTACGATTTGCACTGATGCTCAATAGAGAAATCACTGCAAAAGCCACTTCAGTGAGCTCACTGGCAAGGCTCCTCAGTTACCTGAGGTTAGAAGCCAGGCAGTGCACACAGATGCTCTTGCATTTCAGCCCTTAGCCTCTAACAAGGAAGGCGAATCTCTGTTACATGAAGTGGACAATCTAAAAAATTCATCAGGAAGAGGGAGGTGTCATTATAAAAGTTAGTTTTCCATGAAATTTTGAAATACCAGCATGCTTCCCCTACACAAAAATTAATCTTTTAATGCTAGAAATGTCATCCTATGGCCCTTTTGAAACACAAACCTGATTCTCCTGCACAAAAATTAATCCTATGTCCTGTTTAAAAAAATCCATGTGTTTTTCTTTCTGCCACCACACAGCATCTGAGCTTCTGCATGTTTTTAATTTTTTTCTTTAGATGATATTCAAAATTATAAAAATAGTACTTATCTATAGAAAAAATAACAATCAGACAGCAAAAAAATAGCTTTCCCATCCCAAATGTGGAGAAGCCACACTGTACATCATATTTGCATCTCTGCCAAGTTTTTTCCATAATTCATGTATGTGTGTATATGTGTATACATGTATATACACATATATACACATATACACACACACCTATATATATGCCTCCCTTTAATAATTATTTTTTTAAGCTACACATTTATTGTCTGACTAGTTGTTGAAATCCCTAAGATGACAGGGATGCTGATACAGCTGCCCTCCTGGGGGTCAGGTGCTGTTCCTCTCACACTCCAGGCCTGGATCCACGGGATACAGTTTTCAGAGGCCTCATTCTCCCAGCGCCCGTGATGTTTTGGCTTTTAGATTTCATCCTCCAGGCACATAGCCCCCATAGTAGACATCTGAAGCGCTGAGGTCTCAGAGCAGCAGAGCGGGATGATGCCTGTGTCTTAGTCTGACTGCCGCGCTCTGTAGATGATTCTTTCCCTTTGTCTACCATGAACAAAGAGGGTGGTAGGCAATGTCTACTCCCCCTTTTATTGCATCATGCTGCTCTGTGTGGTGCTGACGTTTTCATTAATTTGTCTTAGAAGTCTTCTATAATACTAGTTAATATTTATCGGCCATTTTCTAATTACCAAGCACTGAAAGATTAACCCATTTGATTTTCCTTAATCTTTTCAACAACTTTGTGAAATATGTTATATTCTTATTCCTTCTTCTAGAGTTTGAAAAAAAAATTGAGGCAAAGTGCATGAGTAACTGGTACAAGGTCACATTGTGAGTAAATGACAAAGCTGGCATTTGAGGCCCCGTGGTCTGGTACTAGGTAGTAAGTCCTAACACTGAACACTACATGATCTTCCTTTATTAACGTCATAGTCACGCCTTTTTCACAAGTGCACTGTCTTTCATTATAGGACTGTACATGTATTTAATGAACCCAGCCACTATTGATGAATATGTATTGTTTCCCACTTCTGGCAATAACAAATGAGAAACTGTTAATAACCTTAACCATTCACCTTTGCCTATGTACAGACATATAATTTTAGAATTCCTAGGAATAAAATTATGGATCCAAAATTTAAACATTCAGCAAATAGTATGAATTTCCCTTTCAAAGGGTAATGATTCCAATTTGCAAACTCATCAAAATATGTGCACTTTTTAACTCTTATAACTATGCATGCAATATAAATCATGCTATTATAAACTATCTGTAACTTCATAGTTGTTCAAATGTTATTTGACAAAATTGGTCATGCAGTTGACAACACCTTTTTTCCCTATTATATATAGAGTGACAATTTAAAGAAATCCTTTTGGGTAGAGAGTAAAAAAGAAAAAAAAAAGCACTTCATCACTTAGTAAATCACTGTATCCTTAGAAAGTTGTATAGGGAAGACAATCAGACCTAAATGCTTTTATAACAGTTACAGAATCACATATTGAGAAGAAAATTGAAGAAGCGACTAATGCAGTGCCCCTTGAGAAAAGTGAGCCACAGAAACCAACCCACCTCCAACATCTGTACAAATGGGATCCCACACACCGTATGCCTGCATATGTAAATGTTACACAGTTGACAAGATGCTAGAGAATATATATACTATCTTACTCTCTTGACAAATTATCATTTAGGTTCAAGTACAGAACTCTTGAATTTCTTGAAACAGGAAACCGTTGTATTCATCAGAATCACCTGCTAGACCTGTTAGAACAAAAGCAATTGGCTCCAATCCCAGTTTTTCTGCTTTGCTAAGTCTGAGATAGAGCCCCAAAAGATGCTTTTAACATGGTCCCAAGTGACCCTAAAGCTGGTTTGGGACCACATGTTGAAAACATTGATCTAGAATAGGGAGCAGGCTCCAGATTGGCATCATTCCTTGGCTCTCTCTCACATGGGGCAAGGCATGGCTGGAAGAGGAGGGCCAGCATAGACCCAGTAAGTCCTGATACCTCATATCAGCATTACTGGCATCTTATACCACTTCCATGTGGGGCTGTTCTGTGCACTGTCAGAAATTTAGTATCATCCCCTATTTGTGGCTTCTACAAACTAGACGCGAATAGCACCTCACCACTCTTAGAATGGCATTCAACATGTGGCTACAAACATTTTCAAATGCCCCCGTGAGGCAAAGTCATCCCTGCTTGAGAACCACTGCTCTGATACATAGGCTGCTCTGGA